TGGAGTAGAAGCCTTTAGAAGAGGTTTAAGCAGCCTAAAGTCCACTCCACGTTTTCCTTGCCACTTCGTGCGCTGTGTTCTTTCAGCAATATCAGGGACTACAGAGGCAGTGTTCTGATGATGTAATCGATGTGCGGCAGGACCAGTAGACCAGATGGAAGGGATGGAGTCAGACCCAGCTTGCCGAGAGTAAACAGTTCTCTTCCGAGAGCCTCTATGGACATAACGAGGTCTACGCAGAAGGCCCAGTTGTTTAATGATAGAAACAGAAGGTGGAATGGAGCAGTTGTTGAGTCCAATCAGCTGGGAAGCGGAGTAGGTCAACATCGACGAGCCAGCCAAGCCGGGGGAAGCTAGCACAGAGCTAGCCACTAACAGCAGACCCAAGGCTCCGAAAAGGACATCCAAAAGGCAGTGCGATGTAATCCGAGCATAGCACAGGAAAAAAATCCAGCAAGAGATGACAAACTAGAACAATCCAGATGACACAGAAAGTTGACAGAAGCAGCAAGGTAAGCGCAACAATAATAGTTGCTAGTTCTTCAAGCAAAGTCCGAGCCGCCGTGCTAGAGTTGTATGTTGTAGGGCTGCAACAACAAATCGATAAAATTGATAAAAATCGATAAAAATTGAAAAAAATCGATGATTAAAAGCGTTGGCAACGAATTTCATTATCGATTCGTTGTGTCGCGCAATTATGCATTTTTCACGGCGCTGCGGAGCCGTTTCGTTTTGTTCACGGGCAGTTCATTGTCAATGCTGACTGACTGAATAAAGTTTGAAAAAAAAAAAAAAAAACCTGCACCACGAGTTGAACAGAGCCAGGGGGGAGCAGAGCAGAGGCTGTTTTCAAAGGAAATTTAAGTAAATTTTACAAATGACCGACGCAGCGAAAACTGTTCGACCCAAGTCCTCCAAAGAGTGGGAGAACCTCACAAAGATAAAAAATGAGAAACATGCCGCTTTGAAAATCGCCGACACGAGAGAACCACGGAGATAAACGTAAACATGTCGGAGTCACGAAGAGGAGGAAGGAGCTGCAGCAGATACAACATGTCTCACTCCCAACTCGTGTTGCAGGTGAGTCTCTACAATTTAACACTTTGTTCTGTTTCAAGAGAGAAAACGTAACGTCAGTCTGTCTGGTAGATGAAGCTGCTTGTTTGTTTGTTTGTTTGTTATCTGATTAATGACGGTGATAGAGAACGTGTGTTACTTTTTATTTAATTTAATTGGTACAAGCAGTGTTTAAATGTGATTTATAAATAAATCTAACACAAAGATAATAATTTAATGATTAAGCTTCAACTTTTAATTTGCTGGCAAAGTCTGAAGACACTACAGGTATGGCAGGATGAATTGCATTTAAACGGGAATTAAAGTAATTTATTACATCTACTCAAATGCGTGTAATTAAGTATTATATATATATCAGAGTCAGAGTCAGAGTTTCTTTATTGTCATTCGCACCTCATGTGGTACATGTGGTGGAGCGAAATTATGTACACGGGGTCCCAGTTATATCCAACAATAAAATGTATAAGAAAAACAGTAATAACATCTAAGATATGAACTAAGAACAACATCAACTAAATATACACTAAGCACTCATAACATAAAAACATTGAACATCAGCACAAACATGAATACATAAATATGTGTGTGTGTTTAATTGCTCTTTTAGCTACTTTTGCCTGAACCTAACACTGTAAGTGAAACAAGGCATTTCTTGAGTTGCTGTAAATTATGCTATAAAACATATTTACTCTCTCATTCCAGAAAACAAAAACAAACAACAACATCCTTCATGATGGACAGACATCATGGACACCACAGCAGCAGCTGTCTTCACTGAAATCATCCTTAAATGATCATCACTGACATGAGGACTCTGTCGATGGTTGAAGACGACGGCTTCACTACAATAATCCACACTTTTAATCCAGGTTACAATAATCCACACTTTTAATCCAGGTTACACTCTTCCCTCAAGGACACATTTTACAAAGTAGCTAAATATTGTGCAGGTATAAAGATGCATTTGTATATATTTTTGTGTACATTTATTTTTTTAAGCTATTTGACTAACTTTTATTTTTTATTATTCAATATTTTACTAACAGAATAGTAAAATAGCAACCTGTTTTTTGTGTGAATTGCTATGTCAGTCAAATGTTCAATTTTGGAATAAAGGGGTGGAAATTAAAACGTTGTTTTTTTTTTTGCCGATTCATTGATTAATCGAAAAATAATCGGCCGATGAATCGATTATTGAAATAATCGTTAGTTGCAGCCCTAGTATGTTGACAGCAATAGTCCCAAATTCCTGTTAGGGAGTGCTAATTAAGCTGTCTGTTATAAGTACTGATTGAGAAATTACTGAGCAAAAATAAGTCCAGATAAATGTCCACGAATATAGCAACAGTATAATGACTTTTTAGCGCGGAGAAGCGGCTAACATGCAGCGCCAGCGTCCTCTCCCTCTCCCTGTTGTCGCTGTTGTCCATTGTTGTCATCATTCTTTGTTGAAATCAGGTCTCTCTTGTAAATGAGGCCTCGAGGCTCAATGGGATTTATCTGTCTAAATAAAGGTTGAATGAATGAAAAAAAAAATAGCAAAGACTTTTAAGTTATCATCATCAACCGTGCATAACATCATCAAAAGATTCAGAGAATCTGGAACAATCGCTGTGCGTAAGGGTCAAGGTCGTAAAACTCTACTGGATGCTCGTGATCTCCCGGCCCTTAAACGTCACTGCACCTCAAACAGGAATGCCACTGTCAAGGAAATAACAGAATGGGCTCAGGAATACTTCCAGAAAGCATTGTCTGTGAACACCATCAACCGTGCCATCCGCCGTTGCCAGCTGAAACTCTACAGTGCAAAGAGGAAGCCATTTCTAAGCAAGCTCCACAAGCTCAGACGTTTGCACTGGGCCAGGGGTCATTTAAAATGGAGTGTGGCAAAATGGAAGACTGTTCTGTGGTCAGATGAGTCACAATTTGAAGTTCTTTATGGAACACTGGGATGTCATGTCATCCGGACCAGAGAGGACAAGGATAGCCCAAGTTGTTACCAACGCTCTGTTCAGAAGCCTGCATCACTGATGGTATGGGGTTGCATGAGCGCTTATGGCATGGGCAGCTTGCATGTCTGGAAAGGCACCATTAATGCAGAGAACTATGTTCAGGTTCTAGAACAACATATGCTCCCATCTAGACGTCATCTCTTTCAGGGAAGACCCTGCATTTTTCAACACGATAATGCCAGACCACATTCTGCAGCAATCACAACATCATGGCTACGTAGGAGAAGGATCCGGGTACTGAAATGGCCAGCCTGCAGTCCAGATCTTTCACCTATAGAGAACATTTGGCGCATCATAAAGAGGAAGGTGCGACAAAGAAGGCCCAAGACGATTGAACAGTTAGAGGCCTGTATTAGACATGAATGGGAGAGCATTCCTATTTCTAAACTGGAGAAACTGGTCTCCTCTGTCCCCAGACGTCTGTTGAGTGTTGTAAGAAGAAGGGGGGATGCCACACAGTGGTAAAATGGACTTGTTCCAACTTTTTTGGGATTTGTTGACGCCATAAAATTTGGAAACAACAGATTTTCCCCTTAAAAATATACATTCTCTCAGTTTAAACTTTTGATCTGTGATTTGAGTTCTATTCTGAATAAAATATTAGATGTTGGCACCCCCACATCATTGCTTTCAGTTTTTATTCACAATTTGTTTAGTGTCCCAACTTTTTTGGAATCCGGTTTGTATCATATTTCTTCTTGGCTAACATTTTTCTTTGAACATCTTCCTACACTTCACTATTCCACCACCAGGTTTCCTGATCATCCATTCTCTGTCCAGATGACACACCAAGTACCTTCCTACCTGTCTCTCTAATTACTGTTGCTGTAGTAGCCCAGTCATTTGGAAACTCTTTCTTACTACCCTGAGCCTTTAACAGCTCCTCTCTGAATTTCTCACAACATTCTTCTTTTCTCAGCTTCCATCATTTGGTCTTCTTCTCTGATTTTACTCTTTTTATCTTCTTCACAACAACAGTCATTCTACACACAACCATCCGATGCTGTCTGGCCACGCTCTCCACTGCCACAACCTTACAGTCCCCAGTCTCCCTCAGGTTTCCTCTTCTACACAGAATGTAGTCTACCTGTGTACTCCTTCCTTCACTCTTATAGGTCACTCTATGTTCCTCCCTCTTTTGGAAATAAGTGTTGACTACAGCCATTTCCATTCTCTTGGCAAAATTCACCACCATCTGTCCTTCCTGGTTTCTTTCCTTGACACCAAACCTACCCATCACTTCCTCATCCCCTCTGTTTCCTTCACCAACATGTCCATTCAGGTCTGCTCCCATCACCACTCTCTCCTCCCAGGGAATACTCTCTATCACTTCATCCAGATTCTTCCAAAATGTATCTTTCTCCTCCACATCACATCCAACCTGCAGAGCATAACCACTGAGAACATTTTGCATCAGACCTTCTATTTCTACCTTCTGACACATCACCCACCATATCTGACACTCTTTCACCTCTACTATTACATTCTTTGCCAACTCCTGCTTCAAGACCACCCCTACTCCATTTCTCTTTCTATCCACACCATGGTAAAAAAAAAGTCTTAATCCTGCTCCAATGCTGTGAGCTTTTCTGCCCTTCCACTTGGTCTCTTGGACACATAAAACATCTACCTTCCTTCTCTGCATAATGTCAGCCAGCTCTCTACCTTTGTCTGTCATTGTCTGCACATTTAGAGTTGCAACCCTCAGTCCTACATTCTTGACCTTCCTCTTCTCCCTCTGTCTCCTGACATGTTTCCCTCCTCATGATCTTCGACTATTTGAAGAAAAACTACTGCTGACACAAATGTTTTGATGGAATGCAGCAAATAGGAAGAATAATTCAGATTTATATAGTAAAAAAGAGAGATTTCTAATAGGAGTGATTGCCATGCTGAACAAAATGTCCTTACCGACTGCTGCTGTGGGTACATTCCTGGTTGTTGATTGGGGTATGGGCCACCAGGGGGCGCTCCTTGGCCAGGATACTGATTTGTGTAAGACTCGTGTCTAAAAATGACAACACAAGTTGAGAACAGTACATTTCGTCTCCGCTGTAATTCCCAGGCTGCACTGATATGAAGTTCTGAAAGTAATTCTGCAGTTGGCCATGATCGCACAGACTAAATCCTGTCCACACAAGACCCGTCCTTGATTTGAGCTGTACTGACCGTTGCTGTGATGGAGGACGACTGGGTGAATACATCCCCGGGTCAGCACCAGAAGGCATCATGTTGGGTTGAGGAGCTCCTGGTCCCATGGAGCCTTCAGGGCCTATGCCTGGTTCCTGTCTGTAAAACCAACAAACAACATTGTAATCAATTAGAGCAGGACTACAGATCTGATCCACATTAACAAATGTTTACCTTCGGTCAAATCCATATGGGTACTGTTGTCTCTGACCCATAGGCATGTTACCCATTGGGCCCGGTGGTCCTCTATTATACTGTTCACCCATTCCACTGTTGGGGCCAGGTGACATGAACTGTTCTCCAGCTTTAAAAACAAACAAAAAAACAATCAAACAAACACCAAGACCAGGATATGATTATTTTCAGCAATGATTCCTCCAACATTTAATTCAAGACTCATCCATTGCCTACCTTTCCTCATTCCTCCGAAGGGGTCTTTGTTTGACTCATAAGGACCCATCCGAGACATCATCTCTGAGCCCCCCATCCCAGGCTGATAACCCTGAGAGTTGGGAGTCATGGCATTCCTTCTGGAAAATGCTGGGTCGCTGCCGTCAGCAAAAGGGTCCTGCAGATTAACACTACTCCTATAGGGCGAAAAAGGGCTTGTTAGTAAAAATCATAATCTTTATTCAGTCTCAAGACTGGCACATTTACGCCTCAACCTTTTTTTTAAAACTGTAGTGTCAATGCTTATAAAGAAACATTCTGTTTTTCAGCCACTTATAAATGTATATTTCTGCAAACGTTTGCCTTTTCTTTGCTATGTTTCTGCTAATTTCCACATTTTGTGATTCTTTGTAATATTTTCAACTTTTTATGCTCCTTTAAGCCACTTTCTGCTTACTGTAATTGCTGGTGTAGAAGCCACTACTTTTTTTTAAATCACATTTTGTACCCTGCAGTTTATATGCAGGAGAGGCTAATTTATGGGGTTTTTTTTTTCATACTTTTCACAATTTACATTTTTAAATTTGATTTTGACTGACTTCCTGCTGTCCCTCGGTAACTTCCTGCCATTTAACATTTTTCTTTGACAAACCTGGGCGCTCTCGTCTGTCCAGCGCCCACCCCTCTTGGGTACCCCTCTTGGGCATTTGTGATATGAGACTACCTGGATAAATAAAGGCTAAAAAAAAAAAAAAAAAAAAAAAAGATACACAGAGTGAATGCCTCCCATATGTACAAAACCTCTTACTCAGGGTAACTACATTACCGTATCTTAACCGTATTTTGCGCTTCATGCACAGACCTGTTCATTTGTTCAGCGATAATGGAAAATGCACTGAGAATTTCTTACGATGCAGCTTTCAAGTTAAAAGTGATCGATCTGACTGTCGAAGAAGGAAACACAACTGCCAGCTGTAAGCTTTCTATCAACTTGTCGATGGTCGGGCATTGGAGACGCAAAGCAGTCAAGTCTGGTACTTTTTTTTTAAAACAGTTTTTTAAATTGAATTTTTGCATTTTAGACAGAAAATTATAACAAAATAAAATAAAAAAAACTAAAAAACTAAAGCAAAAACCCCTCCCACATCAGATCAGTAATACATACATAAACAAAAACTAATCACACAGGCACTGACAAGTATTCCACATTCAAGCTCGAGTTCAAGTTGTGTTTATTTGTCATATAAAAGGTTAACACAAGGTTAACAGTACAATGAAATACTTGTGATGAGAAGAACCAATTTGATTAGCTAAAAAAAAATAATCAAAGAACAAACACAAAGGAAATACTAAAAGCTTGGAATAAGGGTACAAAAATAAAGTGCCAAAAAGTGAAAAATTAATTATAATATTTACAACGTCCTAACGAGAAGACAGTAAACAAAAACATGGTAGAATATAATGGTGCAGCAGGATGAATTTGAATGAACAAGTAGTTCAAGGTCATAATATAAGCTAAAATGCACATGTGTGTGTGTGTGTGTGTGTGTGTGTGTGTGTATGTGTGTATATATATATATATATATATATATATATATATATATATATATGTAGCACATAATTAACATATACTACAGACATATACCACACAAAAAGGACTGCCGCATGTCCTGAAATCTTTTAATGAACCCCTTCAGGGTATGTCTTATTTTTTTCTAAATGAATACGGTACATCACCTCTCTTATCCAATGCACATACGTTGGGGTGGGGGTGTCCTTCCAGTTGCAAAAAAATAGTCTCTTGGCCAACAGAGAGACAAAGGCAATCGCATCCTTCTCACATCTGCTGAAGGACGTATCCACAGGGACCACCCCGAACAGTAAGATGAGTGGTGGTGGGTGTACAGTTTTGCTACATACTCCAGAGAAGGTGTCAAATATACAGGTGCTGGTCATAAAATTAGAATATCATGAAAATTTTGATTTCAGTAATTCCATTCAAAAAACTGAAACTTGTTTATTATATTCATTCATTACACACAGACTGATATATTTCAAATGCTTATTTCTTTTAATGTTGAGGATTAGAACTGATAACTAATGAAAACCCCAAATTCATTATCTCAGAAAATTAGAATATTACTTAAGACCAATAAAAAAGGATTTTTAGAAATGCTGGCCAACTGAAAAATATGAACATGGAAAGTATGAACATGTACAACATCAATACTTAGTTGTTGCTCCTTTTGTCTGGATTACTGCAGCAATGTGTCGTGGTATGGAGTTGATCAGTCTGTAGCACTGCTCAGGTGTTCTGAGAGTCCAGGTTGCTCTGATAGTGGCCTTCAGCTCTTCTGAATTGTTGGGTCTGGTGTATCACATCTTCCTCTTCACAATACCTCAGATTTTCTATGGGGTTAACAAGCGAGTTTGTTGGCCAATTAAGAACAAGGATACCATGGTCCTTAAACCAGGTACTGGTAGCTTTGGCACTGTGTGCAGGTGCCAAGTCCTGTTGGAAAATGAAATCTGCATCTCCATAAAGTTGGTCAGCAGCAGGAAGCATGAAGTGCTCTAAAACTTCCTGGTAGATGGCTGCGTTGACCTTTGACCCCAGAAAACGGTGGATCAACACCAGCAAATGACATGGCACCCCAAACCATCACTGACTGTGGAAACTTGACATTGGACCTAAAGCAACATAGATTCTGTGCCTCTCCTCTCTTCCTCCAGACTCTGGGATCTTGATTTCCAAAAGAAATGCAAAATGTACTTTCATCAGAGAACATAACTTTGGACCACTCAGCAGCAGTCCCAGGCGAGATGCTTCTGATGCAGTCTCTTGTTCAAGAGTGGCTTGACACAAGGAATGCAAGTAAAAACCAGATTCCAAAAAAGTTGGGACACTAAACAAATTGTGAATAAAAACTGAATGCAATGATGTGGAGATGGCAAATGTCAATATTTTATTCGTAATATAACATATGTAGTGGACTAGGCCTCCGATCAAAACCTGCCTCTTAAGACCTTCATAGGACAAGAACTGTTATTTCATTGATTTGAATCCAGAAATACAAATTAGCTCATCCAGAGACTTTCTAATTGTATCCTGAACTAATCAATTGAAAGAACACTCTTTTTTTATATTATCATCACTATTTTACAATATCTTGATAATCACAAGTGTGTTTAGTTCATACCATTTTTAAATGTTGAAGTGAACCACTCATTTTAAATCAACTGTGAAACAGTATTAATGATTTTTTAATCGTCATTCAAAGTAGAAATCAAGTTAAATGTCTATTTTACCAAGTAATTATGCATTTTTTGATCTTCTGTCTGAAATGAGAGAGTGATGTAGGTCAAAAGTCGGAGACAATCAAAAACAAGTTGTTGGAACGAGCTGTCGTGTTTTTAAAGCTCTCAGCCAGAAACAAGAGAACTGGCACCTGCAGTGTTTCTCACTTCGCCAAAACATTTCTCTGTCTGTTCCTAAACCTTTCTGCTGTTTTCTTGACTTGAAAAAACCCTTGGACATCACTAGAACCACACCCCTGTTGGTTGCTTCAACCAATCAGGACTTCCTAAAAGTGACCAGAAGCAGAACTCTTTAAAAATCGACACTTCCTGGAACTGTCAGTCTTTTTCTATGTCTGCTCAGTCTTCTGACTTCTTCTCAGTCTTTTCTGAGTCTGTGGAGTAATGGCTGAGGTCTTCTGAAGTTCTTCTGAGTCTTTTTGGAGTACTGTGGAGTAGTTCTGGAGTTTTTCCACTGCTGAGTGGAACTTCGAACTCAGTTTTCCAGGCTGATGGGGTCATCCATCTCTGCAGGAGTCACGGCGCCTCGCTGTAGCTCCACCCGGCGAATGCCCTATAACTGCTGAGGAAGTTTGTTCTGTAGAACGGAGTATCTCACGACTTCTGCCGAGTCGCCGCCGCCCTGAGGAGACACTGAAAGGTAGCGTGCCAGGGACCTCTTGACCGCAGCGGACCCATTCTCTGCCAAGGTAAAGAGTCGTTCACGAGCTTCACTACAAGTGTACCGCGGCGAACTGCGCTTGAAAGGAGCGTGTTGTTCTGGTCTACAGACATAAATCTTCCTCCATATATTTCCTTTAAACTCCTCCATAATTTCCCATCTTTAAACTTCTATCTTGCCAGTAATTAATCCAGATGCCTTCAGAAATGTCTGTTGTTTTTATTAAGTAAAACGTGCCAAGTTTTATTAATCAGAACCAGATCAGTCAAATCAAGTGTACAATGTTTTGATGTTAAATTTTGATTCTGTTAATAAATGACCACATTTATTTTGATGAGTCAAAGAAAATTAACGTCTCATGTCACTGATTAAACCATCTACGCACAGTACCTCTGTCACATATCTCTAAAGTAGCTTGAAAAAGAGAGAACCCGTTAATTTAAAATATGACTGTAGTGGAGCTCTGAAGCTAATCTAGCCTTTTAGATACACTACACATAGATGACGGATCAAAAGTTTAATCTGAGTAAATGTAACATTTTAAAGGAAAAATATGTTGATTCAAAATTTCAGTGTCAACAAATCCCAAAAAGTTGGGACAAGTAGAAATAAGTGGCTGGAAAAAGGAAATTGAGCATATAACGAACAGCTGGAAGACCAATTAACACTAGTTAGGTCAATTGACAACATGATTGGGTATAAAAAAAAGCTTCTCAGAGTGTCGGTGTCTCTCAGAAGCCAAGATGGTAAGAGGATCACCAATTCCACCATTGTTGTGCAGAAAGATAGTGCAGCAATACCAGAATGGTGTTACCCAGTGTAAAATAGCAAAGACTTTTAAGTTATCATCATCAACCATGCATAACATCATCAAAAGATTCAGAGAATCTGGAACAATCGCTGTGCGTAAGGGTCAAGGCCGTAAAACTCTACTGGATGCTCGTGATCTCCGGGCCCTTAAACGTCACTGCACCTCAAACAGGAATGCCACTGTCAAGGAAATAACAGAATGGGCTCAGGAATACTTCCAGAAAGCATTGTCAGTGAACACAATCCACCGTGCCAGCCGTCATTGCCAGCTGAAACTCTACAGTGCAAAGGGGAAGTCATTTCTAAGCAAGCTCCACAAGCTCAGACGTTTGCACTGGGCCAGGGGTCATTTAAAATGGAGTGTGGCAAAATGGAAGACTGTTCTGTGGTCAGATGAGTCACGGTTTT